GAGTTGCCACCCTGCTGAATTTAGGTTTGATGCTACCTGCCATAACACAAGCTGACTAGCTAACACAAACACGGGAGTACGTTAATGTTGGATAATTCGACAAGGTTCGTAGCCTTTAAACAATGGGACACACGTTAGACGTTGGTCATGTTATTGACTCGCCTAAGTTACATAATATAAAATGCCATTAGCCACTTTGAACCGTGGAGTTAACTGTGTAATACTATCGTTTAAACCACCATTACGATATGTCTCCAGCTGTAATACTGTTTCGTTCTTCGTGTAGAAGTTCTAGTTAAATGCTTGTGTTTCAACTCCAACTTGCATATTGGAAACTGCCATTATGGCATATTGCCGGCGTTTGCTGCAAGCTAACCACCATAGCAGCCCATGGGTGGAGAGACGGCAGTTGTTAGCAAACAATGCAAGCTAGCGTTATATTGATGATGATACAATCTCGGCCTTAGCCGTCGATGTGGCCTTCCGGGATTCCACTGCCTTTCCTGAGCCCTGTGGCATGTTGCGTTTCATTTTGGGTAACGTTAGCTTCTGAGCTAAAAATGCCATACACTTTATGTATCGATAACAACTGAGATAATGCTCCTTGCAACGCATTTGTGCATTGGATAATCGTATATCCGTATGGCAAGCGTTTAAATATTGCGTGGCATGTTTATGCAGTTATAAAGGTAAACGTAATGCAACATGTTTTATATGATCACATTGTCCTTAAATTAGGTAAGCAATACTCTATATGTATAGGAGATAGTATCAAAGAGGTTACTGTTGCACTTGACAGTAAGCCAGTGCATTATTTGCGGTTACCACTGAGTGGCGCTGTAGGATCATGTTAAACCTGTTTCCTGTTGTGCTGTGTACCTTAAACCTACCATAGTGTAAACAACACCATTTACCACTAGGTAAACTGACTGATGCTGTTCACATTTTGCACTGCAGTAGGTTTTAATGGTTAAAGAATATTTACTGATAACTGACTGATTGGTACCTCACTTCATGTAGACCTAAGAAACTTTGTCCAAGTTGTTTGGCAGGATTGACTGACCTGTATCCAGATGTTAAGATAGTTCTATAAAGTAATTTGAGACATTTGCCTTCACTGCACTACATCTGTGAATGAGTGGAACCTTCTGAATGTGGCCCAAATAATTATATCGCAGCATTCTCAAGGCATGTTGGCACAATCACATATGTGTGTAGAGTTGTCTGTGAAAACCAAAATGCAATTTAGTTTAAAGTGTGAACTAGCCAAAGAATTAAGAGTATTCCTAACTCACTGAGTAAAGATTTATTTCTTATCCTCACTAAATGTTAACCTTTTTTTATCCTTTAGCAGTCTTTTTGCTAGCAACCTGTCCACCTCACCATTTCCATCCCATTTGTGTTGTAGTTCAGTTTGTGCAAACTAATTCTATTTCTTAAATGTGCATCTAGTTATGTTTGTTGTTCCTGCTCTACCTTTAGGTTTCAGACTCTAGACCTCAGTCTTCCCCACTCAAGAGTGTTTCTTCATCTAGGAGACTAAATGCAACTGGACCAGGGGGCTTGTGGGCATGAAGTGGCTGGGCGAATCCAAGAACATGGTATTAAATGGCAGACGACACGGAAACAAGTTGACCAGCGAGCAACCTGTGAGCCAGAGTCAGACTCGCTCTCAGCATTGTCAGCGATCATCCCTGCGGCACAATAAAACTCACCCAAGAAACCGAAGATGTAGCCGCAGTGAGTTATTTATCTTTATGTTCACAAATATCTAAATTAATCAGTAGTCACATAGTATAATCTAAGCCATTGCTTAATTATTATTTTTTCCTACAGGGTTTAATGCAGCCAGTCTGGAGGCAGAGAGGCGCTATGTGCCCTCCTCAGGAATGACTGCCAAGGAGTTGTGTGAGAATGATGATCTGACCACAAGCCTCATCCTGGATCCATATCTGGGCTTTCAAACTCACAAAATGAACACCAGGTCAGCACATTCATCACTACCGAATTGAGGGTCACACAGCCTCAAATGAAAGCATTTTTACTGATGTTCACATATGTCTTTGTCCTTATATTGCATTTCATTTATTTAAATATATTTAATTATTACATTCTTGTTATGCCGCTGTGTTCCTGCAGATTTCGACCAATTAAGGGAAGACAAGAGGAACTGAAAGAGATCATTGAGCGCTTCAAGAAACATGATAACTTGGAGAAAGCTTTCAGAGCTTTGACATCAGGAGACTGGTGCCGAAATCTTTTTCTCCACAAGACAAAATCTCAAGAAAAGCTCTTCAAGCAACATGTAAAAATATATTATTGTAGAACAACCCTGTTTTTCTTCCATAGCGGCACAGGTGACCAGTAAGATGAATAACTTTGTCTTGTGCAGGTATTTGTGTATCTTCGGATGTTTGCAACAGACAGTGGGTTTGAGATTCTCCCTTGTAATCGCTACTCATCAGAACAAAATGGAGCTAAAATTGTGGCAACAAAGGAATGGTGAGGACATGCTGCTTTCTGATTATAAGAGCACCACTAATTAACACACAACTGTCAGTAGCCCTCATCCACCCTATATTGTATTTTTTTTTTCTAGGAAAAGAAATGACAAGATTGAATATTTGGTGGGATGCATCGCTGAGCTTTCAGAGAGTGAGGAGAACATGCTGCTCCGACATGGGGAGAATGACTTCAGTGTCATGTATTCAACTCGCAAGAACTGTGCCCAGCTCTGGCTGGGACCAGCTGCCTTCATCAATCACGGTATTAGGCTTTATAGTTTTTAATCATCAGATGTCATTAGTAATGGCGCTGAGATGCCTGGAGAAAAGTACTCATTTGCCTTTCTTTGTTCCCTCTTTTATCCCCAGATTGTCGGCCAAACTGCAAGGTAGGATTGACTAAAATATTTCTTAAGAAAACCACTAATTCATTGCATCAGTAGCTGTTCACTGTGAAAGCTCAGCCAATTAAACCCATTTTTCCCCCTGTGTAGTTTGTATCAACAGGGCGTGACACAGCCTGTGTCAAAGTTTTGAGGGACATTGAACCAGGAGAGGAAATCTCATGTTACTACGGAGATGGGTTTTTTGGGGAAAACAATGAATTTTGTGAATGCTATACATGTGAACGGTAGGTCTAACAACATATTCACCATAAAAAAGTAAATGGTGCAGAATGTCGTGAAGGTGTTATATAAAGTATGAATTTTATACATGCTTGGTGTTAAGACACATTTGATCACAATATTATTTGTCCTGTGCAAATAAGCTATATTGAGCCAATATAATACATCCCAATGCAATTATATATGTAAATATACATTTTATACATTAATATTCACTCACCAGTAAAGTTCAGTTATAGGGCTAGACCTAATGGTTATTTTCATGATTGATTAATATGTTTTCCCCTGTTGTCTGCAGTGATTTTGTAGTTCTTAGTTTCATGTTCTTGCATTCTGATTGTGATTAAATAAACTATGCAACAGAAGGCTGTAACTGATAAAAAATAACTTCTCTGTAAACAAACTTGGCATTGGCACTGATTTAATTATATGTAATGTAGCTGACTGAATTTTATGTGGAACGCAACATATTAGGAGCACAATGTCCCAGTCAGCAATTTAAATTTTTAATTAAAAAGGGTGCATACCTCTTGCAATGGGATGTTCTGCAACACTTTGTGGCATCACCCTCTTTTCTCTGCTGCTGAGGACAAACTCTGTGCTGGACAGAAACTGCCTTGTCTCAGCCTCCAAGTCTACAAGAATTCCTCACTTTTTCATACAAAGAGCTCATTAGACTTGACCATTAACTACATAAAATTTTCTTTTCATACACAACAATTCACTACGATCAGAATAACAAGCACAGTATTGGTGTAGTGGGTAAACAGTAACTTTTATTAGTACGAGTAATAAAAGGCAGCTTGAGACCCAATAACTGATACTGGTATTGGTGCGTCGCTGTAGAGAGGGAATAGGGCAGAAAAGCAGCATATCTGCACACTTAACAGGCGAGTACATTTTGGGTATGCTATTGACTAAAAAATTAATGAAAAATGCGACAGAAACATTACGTTTAGAGAACTGAAATCTCATTTCCATGGTTTATGAAATCTAATCAGTGTTTTTTTTTTTTTTAGAACATGCACTTTTTTATTTTAAAAGGTAGTTGCTAAAGGGATATTTTGTGTTGTTCTTGTTATTGTTGAGCAGACGGGGTACTGGTGCTTTTAAATCCAAAGCTGGACTGCCAGTGGAAGTGCCAGTGATCAACAGTAAATACGGGTTGCGGGAGACCGACAAACGTCTGAACAGGCTGAAGAAGCTCGGGGAAGGAAACAGGAGCTCAGACAGTCACTCCGTAGGCTCACACACCGATGTAGACTCTCAGGAAATGACAAAAACACTTCAATGTAAGAGGCCCCTAAACATTTATTATGTCTTCCTTTTGTTGCCATAGTTATTTCCCAAACTCAAAACTGGTTAGAAGAAATCTCATATGATAGTGTAGTTAAGGCATCATTAAACACCTGCAAAAAGTACATACAGTATGTTAGAGCTGGACAATCTATATATAGATTTAATCAGACAAAAGGGCAAGGTCATGTGGCCTTCAATTTCATACATACAAAGGCCACTTGACTGGGCATTAAGGGCGAGACAAATGACATACACCATCCACTTTATTAGGTACACCTGTGCTGTGTGTATGTGCACGCCTGCAACACTTCCACCTTAACATCTGTGTTATTGAAGCTCAAAATGTTTCAGTTTTTGGTGAATTTGTCATAAATGTATACATTTAATGTTTATCTTTGAGGTCATAGGTAAAAGTGGTGTTGTACTGGACTACATTATATTCAGAGCTGTTCCTAATATTTTGACCCTTTCATGTATGTAGCTGTGGAGGACAAAAATATAGAGACACCTCTGAATATATTGTAGTCCAGTACAACGGCACCTTTAACTATGATGTCAATAATAAACATATAATTGAATTTGTACATTTGACAATTTCACCAAAAACAAACATTTTGAGCTTCATAAACACAGATGTTAAGGGGGAAATGTTGCATTGAATGACATACAATTGTACAGGTGTACCTAATAAAGTGGCTGGTGAGAATATGTGTACGCAGCTTAAATGTATATAAGCAGTAAATGATCAGTAAACTTATCAACTAGGGTTTGATGTTCACAACATGTATGTTATGTTTAAAGTAGAGTGCAAATGCTTGTAGACCTGGTAAAGGGCTGCAGAGATAGTATAGTAACTATGCACCTTTATTACAATTTGGAAAGTAAATTGTGTTATCTGTGCACATTTGGACCCAAAGGCATACTGAGTTCTTGTTGCTGTCTGCTGATGTTGCCTAAGATCACAGGTCGGAAGAATCACGGATGTATTAAGAAGAAAAGAGAGCAAAGGATGTCTAATTTCTCTGGCATCATGACAAAATGATCAGCATCACTTCTAGCATGGTGAAATCTAAAAATGCATAATGGCTATCTATTAAGGTTTTCACATGGTTATTAAAAAAATTATAAACTTTTACACAAATTCTTTCATTTTACAATGTAACTTGTGTTTTTACATAAACGGCACATTAAATTACTTATAGTATTAGTACTGGTGATTAGATATAAATATTGGTACTGACAATAATGTTTAGTTAGCATATGCAATATTTCTAATACAAGTGAAAACATTGTACATTTCAACACTACATGTAATGTTTTTACAGCTTATAGACAGAGCCAGATATTGCATCCTTCAATCTGCTTACCCAGTAAAACTAAAGGAAACCTTATTGCAGGACCACTAATTTGATTGAAGAGCATTCTGAGCTAAATGTAGCAAACATAAGGCACAGAAGTTCACCAACAGCTTGTAAAAATGGTGATGTTACTAAGCAGTGTTAAAGAGTGAAGAACATTAATTTCTACAGCATATTATACCAACTTACATGAACCATGGAGGTGTTGTGAGGAGTGCTACTGGGTGAACAGCTTTATTAAGCACTGTTCTCCTTAATAGGTCCATAAACACATACCCACGTGAGTGATTGAACATGAATGATCATTTACAGATATCATTTACAGACTTGAGAAGATCTGATGGAGTTAAGAAGTTTGTCACATCTGATGATATACAGAGCATCACGACCAGATGCCAAAGCAAATTTTTACCCTGGATTTAATACTGTAATATGATGAATGAATAATGTCATAATGCTTGGGGTTCTTGCAGTGATATGCAGCTATGTTGTATGTAAATTGATTGTTTGTGAAAATGTTAAATATATAATAATAATAGTTAAACTTTTTTCCTTCAGCTGCCAGAAAAAGAACATCTTCATCTGACCTGAAGTATAAAAACAGGACTCAAACTAGACAGACTTTGTCAAAAGCCCTTACTACCTCATGTTCAAAACAAGGTCGCATAAACAATAACAGGGTACCAAAGAGACTAAAATCCCAATCCAAGCCTTCACTAAGTAAAGTCCAGTTGCGGGGTCGCAGGAGGGGTACAGAGCCTAAAGCATTGGCCAAAGGAGAGACTTGCCAGCTGGGTCTCAGGGACTCAAAGGTGTCGCTATGTAAAGGTGTCACCATCAAGAAGGAGAAAGATGGACAGGAGCTGGTGCAACAGACATTAGGCCAACGGGGCTGCCTCACTCGTCATGCTGCCAAGGAAAATGGCAATCTCCCAGCTGCGCAAAGCAGTGACAGCAGCCAGTGTCCAGTGTACAGAACTCGCAGGTCCACAAGGGCCCCTGTAAAAGCCCAGGAAACAGCATCTGGCATTAAGTTGGAGCCCAGTGCTATGGATGGCTTGAGCCCAGTACCTGGTGGAGTGGTCATTAAAACAGAGCCAGCTGACATGGAGGAATATCTCCACCATGGAGTGGGACTGGAGCAGCCAGCATTAGATACTGGCTATGCCAGAAGAGGCTTGTGCACCAGGCGGAAACGGTTGCCGCGGCTCAGGACAGAGCGAACGATTAAATGTGAGGACTCGTACGGTGAGCCATTCATGCCGGTGTCTGCTGGCCACACCACCAATTTCTCAGACTGCGGCAACATGCTGTTGAGCTTCAATGACCGACACAGGAACTACAATGGGGTTGCTAATTGCAGCAAATCCCTTC